CAAACTTACTGAGGGCGCACTCAATCCCCTCATCCAGACCACTGATGAAGATCTTAAACAAGACTGGATAAGACAGTGGACAGAAAACCATGAAAAAAAGGTTGTACCAAGAAAAAAGGGGAAAAGGTGAATGTGCTTGCTTCACAGAAGGGGGAGACTAAATATTCTTGTCCACACTAACCAGGATGATATCCTGGTTTAAAGTAGGAATTGCTGTTCTGATCATCACCTAGGCTAGAAGTCTCCCTTTCAAAAGGGTTTAATGTTTGCACTTCAGTCTGCAAATCCTGAAGGTGCCAATTCACTTATAGGCTATGCCCTTCTGCCGGACCAATATGCTTAAAAGATGGTATCCCAAAGGGATGTCACATAGGAACGCAGCGTTGCAGGCTAACCAGAAATGAATTATTAATTTATAAAGTTCATACAAAAGTCTGCTAACAATTTAAAATCCATGTGTGAGTCTTGGGTGTCTTAGAGAACCTTTTTATGATAGCAGTCACAAGATCCCACTTGGAACCAGTATTTGTAATGCTGGTGCACCACGGCTTTGTAAATTGGTAACCGATTTGTCTAAGGCATGCCATGAATGACATGGTTTATAATAAATGAGTGCCTTGCCCAAAAATTGTGTGGCAAAGTTTAGCTTTGTACTGCTGGACATACTGTACTCCAAAGGAGGCTGCATTCTGGTAATATATGAAATGGTTTCTGCATATATAGCAGCCAAACAAATTGGCTGCATTTTGAGTGTTTTGGATTATAAGGCCACAAACATCAAAAAACATATGAAAGAAGCTAATGACTTTTCAACATATTGTGACAACAAACCAGCCAAAACTACTTTCAACCAGTTCGTAGAATAATGTGTTCCTGGCGGCTCGCATCAACTCTCCTGCAGAAAAGTTTAACATCGAAGATGTAAACTGCTGTGAAATCAGGTTTAAAACACAAAGCTTAAACTATGTGTGAGTGGGCACAAATACTACTGCAGCACAATAAATAGTTGGTACTGGATGTTCATTCTTCAATGTAGAAAAATATAGGCAATTTCCAAAGTGAGAAACTATGTTAGATTTATAGTGGAAGGGTGAGGTGAGCAGATACTTTATGATTATGCAGTATGCAGGGTTAATACTTTTCTACCCTTTCAAGTCTTAACAGCTGTTCCATCAAGAGGGGGAAAATAAAAGCCCTTGGTAATTCTTAAGCAAGCTGCCAATTTTCCACATGGGATTCGATGGCTAAGAAAATCAAGTTTTCCTGGTCTCATGCTGCTGCAAGGAATAACAGCACACTTAGTAACACTAGTAGAAATAAAAATTCCGTATTTCTGAAAAAAAGTTATATTTCCTAAATTTTTCTTATATCCTCAATATCTTATTAACAACACCCCCTCCCATCTAATATCTAGCCTCTTTTATTCTGACACTTGTTTTGAAGGGGCACTGCTCATCACAAACTTGAAGTTCCTTATGTGTCTAACTGTGTGATATACAGGTGCAGTTATTTGCACTGACAAGTTTGTGAGCATCAGAAGAGAAACTCTATTCATAAATCAAATATGTATTTCCAACACTCAAGAGGAAAGAAGGATGGAATTTTAAGTGTCAGGTATTGATTATGAACCAAATTCTGGCTGCCTGGGATAGAGGCACCTGTCCAAAAATCCACAGATAAGGAGCAATCAAAGAAAAACCTGTTGGCCTCTATGCTGTTTGGAACAGGCGCTGTACAAGCTTTTTATCACCTGAGTGGGGCAGGGTCTCTGTCCTCCTAAATCACATCACAACACAGCAGCCTGATGGAGCCAGAGATGTATTCTGTGTACATGCAACTGGATCCCAAGGCAACACAATGATGCCAGCTTCCTTACATCCATCTGACCCTCCCTCTCCCACAGTGAGGGATTCAGGTTACCTCCTAGCTCCTGTGCCACGACTGCCTTGTTGCTGGTCACGTAACATCTGGCCTGGGATTTGCACTTGAACTGTCACCACACAGCCATATGTTGGTCATTCCCTGTCTATAGATTTGTGTATGAACACTCACAGCTGGTACTGAAAAGTTCCTATTTCGATACATATACAATCATATCCTAATGCTGTCTTGTTATTCTTAGTCTGAGTCTCTCTAATACCTTTTTATAACTTGTTATATCACAGCACCTAGGTATTTGTATGAGATACCAAGGATCCAAATATTTACGTCAGAGAGGGAGGAAAAACCCTGTCAGCATCTGTTTGCAGAAGTGAGATGGTAGAACTGAAGTGTCAGATTATCTCCCAAAAAGACGTCAGCATTTTCATCTGCCTGACAGATCTGTCTGCCTGTGCAAGAGTAAACAAGAAAATGGCTCAGTGATTTGGACTGTTTTTAAGGCAAAACAAAGAACAAATGATCCATTTTCAGATCAGGTCTCCTGCTCCAGTTTACAGATGTTCGTTTGTGATTTCCCCTATAAGTCCCTTTTGGGACAATGACCAATACACTGTGTGGCTGGCCAGCCTTGTTAAAGTACTGGCAATTTAAACAAGAAAAATCTCATGTAGAAAACAAACCTTCAAACAGTAATGACACTAGACGCACCTCAAAATTCCTCTGCCTCTTCTATTTCCTGGAAATTAGGGATCGTCCAACTTAAGACATTTCCATGGAACTGATGTCTGAATTCATCTGAAGTTTGAGCAATTCTCCTGTTTGAGTGAAGTTAGTTCAGATCTATGCTGAAGTAAGAGATTGAACTGAACCCAAATGTCTTTAATACAAAGTCTTGATCTTTACCAGGAAATGACAGAGCTTATCAGGATGCCAGCCTTACCTCTGTAATAATGAAGAAGTCATCACCAGGCTCTCCCTGCACAACAATTTTTTCTCCATCTTCAAACTGGACAGGTTCCAGTGCATCAGCCACTGTCAGCCGCTCCCATTTGTCCAGGGACTCTAAAATATTGAAGATCATAAAGCTTTATTATGAAAAGACTCTTAACTTTGGCTGAAGGTTCATATCTAAACTGACAGCTCTGCTATCCCTGGTTCTGTTATAAAAGAAACATTTCTTTCATCCAGGCACTTCGCACGAACCTCCAGTTGGGAAACATGAATGTATTTATTCATTGTGTCTTAGACTTTTGTAATCACCCATATAATAATCTTAAAAGTTGGACAGGAAAAGTTGGCTCCGGTTCCCTATGCGTGCAATCTGACCTGCATTGCCCTGATGCTGCAGTGGATTGGAGCAGCCTAGGAGCTGTTTGGCAATACCAGTGATATGGCAGCACCAAGATCCTCTCTTACCACATCCCACACCAGATGTCAGATCAAGTCCTACTGTCTTTTCATCAGAGTTCCTCTCAGCTGGTTACCGATGGCCCGCTAGGTAAGCGATGCAAAAGTGCCAATCTCAAAGATGACTCTTCCCCCGTGGGTGAGACCACGCAGCACCGCAGCCAAGGGCAAGACCCTGGTAGCATGGGTGGCAGTGGGACCAGAGGCTCGGTATGGGTGTTTGAAGTGGCACCTCTGTTTCATTTGCCAGTGCAATGGCTTACAAAGTGTTTTTCTTCTCATTCCCCGACTTAGAGAGGAAAGTTATAAAACTTCAAAGTAAACTTCAATAAGAAAATATTAACGGTCTGTTTCATGAGTAATGGAGCTAACACAGCCTGGTTCCTGTGCCTTTGTGTCCTATCACCCACTTGCAGCTGCCACAAATCCCCTGTGATACCTACATGGCAAAAGAAAGCCTGCACAGCGGCTAGCCGAGGGCTGCTCCCTGTCCTGCTGCCTTCCTCCTCCTGCTTTGCCAAGGGATGAATTTTACCCACCCTGCCCTCGGGGAGAGGAGGGGTGCCAACCTGTGTCCATCTGCCAATTTGCATGAGAATTCAAGACAATGAATTGTACTTGAGCTTCTGTACTTTTGTCAGATTTGACTGAAAGAAGTGACAGGTTTAAAAGTTATTAAACGAAACAGATAATACAATGCTATAACCTCCACTATCTCAAAAAGCTGGGCTAAAATTCATGTGCTAGCGCTCTGCTGATTCTTACTTACTATGAATTACCGAACTATGGTAAGTCAAGACATGGCTTCTCACACCAGGATTAGATCTGGGCTGTTCTCTCTAGTTTTCCCATTTTTTACTCTAGTTTTCCCATTTTTTTCAAAATATTGCTTAGAAGTATTGTGTGAGGGTGAAAGAGTTGTTCTTTAAAAGTTAAAAAGCCTTTTGGCTGAGCTTAGAAGTGCACACTGAGTCTGCTAACAAAACCAAATTGAAGTGAACAATGCACCAAAGGTAAGTTTTGAGTTGCTCGACACACGTAACGTCTTCATGTTTTTATGCCACTTTCTGTTGTTGTGTGGGAAATTATTATTTCTAGTATTTTCCCCACCTATAATCACTAATGCAGTTTCCTGGTATATTTGTGGCTTTTGCTGCAGAAGCATTAATATCAAAGACCAAGCCCATATTGTCAATGCAACATTCAAAAAGTGCTCTGTTTGACTAAAAATAAGCATGAAACTCTTTCCTACAGACTAGAGTAGGCTTTTTTGTTAAAAAACCCAAACAAGAACTCGGTAATTAACAATGGAGAGTCTCTTGAAACTTCTTCGGTTGGCTTTATGAAAAATTCAAAGCTAATTCTAGCTGTGGTCACGAAGTGTCTCTCTTTTGTCTAAGGGAATTGTACCACTACGAATACATTGGTTAATGGTTCTTGCAAACAGAGCGTTGTATAGCAGATTGTACATGATAAAACTCCTAACCTTTTAGTTGCACAGTAAAGTCAAGCATCAAATAAAGTAGACCATACACAATTTTTTGCAATTTCTAAATTGTACATATCAATTCATGGCTTTATATTTAATTAAACTCCAGAAGAATGTTTTTAAACAATTAGTTTTCTCATATCTTGTTCAATACACTACAAGCAGCTACCGATAATCTAAAAATTCCTTAGCTTTAAAAAAAAATAAACTGCTCTTACAGTTATATGGCTAGCTACAGACACTACACAAGCCTTTAAAAAACCTATATAAGAAGCAGGCAGAGGTTTTTCCACCACGAAATCACCAAGTTCTGACCACATTAAGGCATGAAGTGAAGTTCACTTCTCAGTGCTGTGTTGAGATTTCTAAAATATCTTTCTGTTTTCCAGCTGTCATCTAGTTTTTAGACATGTGAAATAGATCCTTACACATTTCACCTAAATTCTCCATGCTCCTGAAATGATGCGTTATTTTGTCTGGTGCTTTTCTGTACTTAAAAAAGGTTCAACTCTGTAAGTCCTACCTCATTTTTTACTGAGATTGAAAAGCCATACTACAGACTAGGATATAATTATATTGCAAACCGCATGTTTAAGGAAGCGCATCTTTGAATAACCTTTCTACTCTGAAATTGCTTTGAGATGTCTCATTGTTGTAATTGCTTCTCATTAGTGCAGGTGCAGAGATCCTTTTTTCTTTAAATACTCATTGTAATTTGGTATAATTTGTGCTCTTAATTTAGAAGGATTTAAATTAAGCATAAAATAAGGCATTTAAATGATGAAAACTTCATTAATAAGCGAGCAACATACTTGGCCTTACTTTAAGCATACAAATGTAATTGAAAATTTCATGCATAGCACCTCTCAGAAGTTCAAGTATATTTTCACTAAGACTCTCACATTTCAGGTAAATAACCTCAAATGGGAGAGGAATACCATAAACAAGAAAAGAAAATTGTTTAAGTAGAAATATAAGTATTTTAATTATATAGCAAATTAATCCTGTACTGTTTTTTTTTCCAAAATAGCCCCAGCAGAAACACGATGTTTCTCCTGCAGCATCAACATTTCATTGTACTGTCTAACACTGTCCTCCTTATTAGAAGCTTTTGTTCTCCTAATGGTGATTGATTGGTCAAGCATTATGGGTTTGTTGTTTTTCCTACTGAAGGCCATCAAGAACATGTCCAAATTTCGTGGCTATCACATTAATCAAAGGGAAACAAAATCCAAGGACAAGAAGCTAAACAGATGTTTTAAGAATGTGAGACAGGGGCTGTAAAATACACAGAAGAAAAAAAAACCAGTCTGTTTTGATTTGCGAGGTTAGTTTGTTTAGTGCACATAAATACAGTATTCTCACAGGAAAAAGCTTCTCACTTGTCACCTGGAAGTATGTAACTAGACTTTATGACAAATTCATATCTCTGCACTGCTTTCTCCTCTATCCATATGATCGCTACTGTAACAGCAGCTACCAAAAGGTTGCTAGTGCATGCCTGCTCCCATATTTAAGGAAAGATTTGCCCTTCAAACAGATGTTCAGCACATATTAAAGAATGAGAAAAACAAGTCCTAAAAAGGGCCTTTTACACTTTCATTCCTTCGGAAACGACGCAACTGTGAGACCTTCTGTTTGACCACCATTGCTTTCATCGTGCCATCAAAGACCAAAATTCATTCCACCAACATGTATAACAGAGGAACTAGCACACAAGTCCAAAGGGCAACTGACCCAAAATGGAGACCTTGCTCAGGAATTCTTCATACATCTTCCGCTTTCTCAGCGTGCTGCCCTGTTATTAAAGGAGAGAAAAAAAGGAGGTAGAACATTACACAAAGTATTTTTGTGATTTCTTCCTCGAGTTGCTCTTTTTTCCCCCCTCCCCTTCCAAATCTTAAGCCTAGCCAGTAAAAACAGCCTAAGGCAAATGTTTCCCCATAAAATGTCTGGGCAAGTTGTATTGCTGATAAGCAAAGACAGAAGGAATCAAATTCAATCCTGGTGTAATTTCACTGACTTCACTGGTGTTACTGGACACCGCGGATGAATTGCATCCATTATTTACAGGCACTCATTTTAAAGCCAGAGCTTCATCAATTAACTGTTTAGCTAATTCAATATATATCTTGTTACCAATGAGGCCCTGCTAGAAGGCAATTTACAATTACAAAGTAGGATAAAACTTAAAATGTCCCCCTCATGGGTCCTATCCTTTTAGGTTAAAACCTCTTTAATGCCAAGAGCGTCTATCTGTAAGCCTGGTTTATATTCTGCACGGTGTTGTATGTATCGTTACTGCTGAGCAACCTATTCCTATTATTATTTTAACAAGATTTAAGTGGTTTGGAGCAGACAATGCATCAATGTATATGCAGCCACCAGCACAGTCGTTCCCACTCTAGTAAGATTTTATTGTGTGATAAATTACTGAGAAACCTTCTGCTTACATCGTGTTTGATCACCACAGACAGAAACCATAAGTAGCCATTCCAGCACACATTTCTGAAGGAGATTCAGGTATGAATACATACGATGCGGTTTTGCCAATACAAAAATAACTAATTCATCCTTAACTCCTCCTACAGTGACACGAATGACTTGAAAACCTTTCCAGGTACTCGAAAGGAACTCCAGGGTCTTCCTTGGTACCGTGCAGTTTATTCCACACTGTTATATGACAGCCTGCATCGTTTCTGCCTGAGTAGATTCCCCATGGATGTCGAAGGCTGCCTGGTGCCTGCTAGTCAAATCTACAAGGCAGGAGTACAGCATAAAAATAACACACTCATCTTCTGAAGAAAGGGGAAATAAAGATGTCATTCACTTATAGGCTGGGCAGAGAAGGCAGAAGCAAATGTCAGGATCTGCCATAGATAAAGCCACTTCTCTACTCCTTCTCCAAGCAAGCACTGGTAGGTGCTGGAAGCAGAGGCAGAAAGCGGGGATAGACAAAGGAAAAGAAGAAGAAACATTTTACCCTCCACTGTCAAAGCATTTGGAAATGTATGGAAGTATGAAAATGGGAAAGGCTGGTGTACTCAAGTGCAATGCTATAACTAAGAATTAAACATTGTCCCTCTTCCTACATGCATTATGCAGGTGGGGCTTGATCTAATGAGCATGAAAGCAGCGGGAATCCTTCCACCAACATCAAGAGGCTTTGGCATCAACAGAAGCTGCGGGTGCTCTCCTCTGAGGAGAACTCCCATTTGCACCCCCCTCCTGGGGCCACCCCTGCTCCAAAACAGCCACAGCACCGTCAGGAGCTGCTGCTCTTCCCAGGTAGCTCTGGATCAGCAGCAGCACCAGCTACCGAGGTCTCCCCCTCTGCACCATGTTCATAATTTCCGAGTCTGGTGATGACAGTTTGCCTCTCAGCGATAGCATCGGTAACCCTTGTCTGACCTCTCTGTCTGACAAACCTGGTTCTCAACCTCAGGGGCCCCTGAGAGTATTTGAAGTGCCAGAAAGAAAAAAAAATTAACTTCAAACAGAGGAGGCTCTGCAAACCATGCCAGATCCTGACAGCTTGCTGCGAGACAAAGAATGGAAAACTGGACACTGCGCAGTTGTTGCTTTCCTCCCTGCAATCGAGCGGAAATGAGACCAGCAAAATTGACAGCTGTGGAAAACCAGATTGGTGGTTTAGTTTGAATGGCTGGGGCACCGGGGGACAGATGTGGAAAATGCTTTTTAAATGACTTGCGGACACAGATGAATTTTAAGAAGCAGTAATCAGTAGCCATAAGTGATGCCTGACCACAGCTTCGAGTATTTAGAGATGCAGACAAGACCCAGGAAGGTAAGAATTGCAGGCATCTCGCCTGGCCTGGAGAGCAACAGCCCATCACTTCCTACAGGAAAATGGGTGTGTTACGTCTTGGCTAAACTAAGCCAGGGCAGCAGAATTCACCGTGAAGACAAGTGAAAAAGCAAAACTGAAGCGGAAAGAATTAATTAAATGTGCTATTATCATTTTTTGTATTGTGATAGTATCTAGAACCTCAGTGGGACTCCACTTAATGCAAATATCCCATATCTCAGAATGATACCACAGACAAAGGTAAGGGAGAACAAGAGCCTAGGGAAGAACTAGTGGTTGAGGCTTAGGAGTCCTATTTCCCAGCACATGCACTGAAAACCAAGGTGACCCAACTGATGGCTCATGACTCGACCTGCAGGATGGCTCCATCCAACCCTCCGCCTCTCCTGGAGGAGACAAACAACAGCCTCCAGGGTAGCACAAGCCACCCGACAGCAGAGCTTCACTTCAGGGTGCCCAGGCAGGCACAGAAGCTGCTTCTACATTTTCAGAGCACACAAGGCTAGATCCTGAATGGCACAACCAGATCCCAATTTCTCTTCCAGAAGGGAGAAGTTTGGCTCACCCTCATGCACATTGTTTTCACTTGAGTGTGTTTTCCTGCTCAAGCTTTCATAACCACAGTGAGGGGAAGAGATTTTCAGAGAACACTACTCCAATATAAGCTAAAAACAATGCAGCAGTAGAAATCTTACAAACAACCAAAGCATGTGCTTATTTCACTTGGTATTAATCATCTCTTCCTCCTTATGAAACAGAGAGAGAACATGCCTACTTCTCACCTTCCTTGATCAGCCTAATATTCCCCTCTCATCCCCTCCCATAGGCATAATGTCACCTCTGGCTCCTGATGTCCTTTTTATACTTCTCTGGTCTAATCACTTTACCAAAATTGTTGAGGCCATGAGTATGAACACCATCATAACCTCTTCTACTACCCTTCAAGTCATTTTTGCAGAAACGTCAACCAGCATGCTCCCTGGGACATGTGCTAAGCCTGTTCTTATGCAATATTTTCATGGATCTTCTAGAAGCAGCAACAAATCAGACAGTAACGATATCTGCAGACTAGGAGATACTATGAAACCTTGCCAGGACAGGAAAATAACAAGAAAGGACCTAGAGACATTAGAAATGGGAGTAGAAAATAATAGAATGAGCTTCTGTTTGGAAAATACAGCTAAGAAATGCAAAGAAAAAAAAAATCCAAAGCACAGATGTTTGATGACCAGAGGAAGTCTGGAAAGTTGTAAAGCTGAAAGAGATTTACAGACAGTAGGTGAGACCTGGTTTGCAACATCAGACTGCAACAAGAATATAGCCAAGGATATTTTGGTCTGTATACTCAAAGACATCATCCAGGAATGAAGTTTAGAGGCTCCATCTCCATGGCTCCGATGTGATGGCGCCTGGTGTGCTACACTCTGCCTGGGTACCTCTTCTCCAAAAGAGTATTCCCAAACCAAACAGAGCCTGAAGAAATGCTAAAACACTTGGGGAGAGCTGGTAAGGAAGGAGCAAAACTAATTCAGCCTGCATAGGTCACCTCAGCACTGGGATCATAGGTATGTCATGCTCATAGACAGCATGCATTGTTGCAAGGGTTTTAAGTAGACTGTGATAATCATCTACAGATATATGACAGAAAGAGAGGGCAATTTAGTACAGCATAACTTGACATAACTCAAAGTAATAGGAGAAAATTAAGAAAATCTAATTTAAGATGAATATCAAAAAAGTTTTCCCAACTTAGGAATTATTCTCTTGCAGAAAAGTTTCCCAAGGGAAGCAGTAGAATACTTACTGCTTGAGCCAGATAAAAACAATAGTAAATGTACATGAATAATTCTGCACTGGCAGGGTTCTTGATGGCATGTTTTAAAAAAGTCTTTATTAATTCTGCTTTTTCTAACCTATTAATATCTTATTTCAATAGTCGCTGCTTCTCTCTCTCCCCCCTTTCCTTTGTTCACTTTCTCCCTGGTTCTGAGCTGTCATGCACAAGCTCATCTTCTTAAAGACAGTGGTTCCCACTAACTACGAAGCTTCGTTAATATGCTAAGCTGCATAACTGAAACAGTTCCAAGGAGAAACAAGATCACTTGCATTTGCCAAATCCACCCAGAAAAGAGCTCAAAGCCAGTTTTAGGACACTTAAAAATGTAGCAAGCCCTAGGCTTAGCTTAAGCAATACACAGGCTAGGAAAAATTAATGCCCCAGAGATTATAACAGGTCTTGTTCAATAGGACTGTTGCATCTCTTTTCCAACTGCCCCTTCTTTAGTGTCCCTGTTTTCTTCCATTTTTTCTTCCCACTCGTCCAGTCCAGTCTCTGTCTTTCTTCCCCTATGCTCACCTCTTTGCTTTATCCCTCCAGCACTCTTCATGTCTTCTTTCTTGTTCCATTTGTTCAAGTGCATGGATGGGATGGCTGGAGTTGATTGGGTCCTTCCTAGAAATTCCCATCTTCCATAAGAAGCCAAACAAATGGCTACCGAAAGGCAAAGTATGGCTCAAGTTTCAAATAAAAGAGTTATGCTGGCAGAAGGAGCCGGAATGGCCTTCTGGACTGCTCCAGCCCCATTTAATCCCTGTGTAAACTTGATATTGAATGATGCTTTGGGTGTACATTCTTACAGGAGCATGAAAGAAAGTCACTGTGCCTACTGGCCATGAAAACAAAATAGCCTGCAAGATCCCAGTGCTACACTGCACAGGTGTCAGATGGATCGCAGGCTTCGGATTCGCTTTATGTTTTGGCCACCACGCAACCTACATTTTATGGAAACACGAAGTCCTGCTGACTTATTTTGTCTGAGAGGAAAAGGCACTTATTAAAGAACTTGTTCTCAGGTTCAAAGCTGTGAAAAGATGGTAAAACAAAGCCAAAATAGCATGAATAAAATGAGGCATAACATTAGGAACTGACTAACCTTGATTTGTCATGACTTACATCACAATATTACAACTCACTTTCTGTGAGCAGTTTGCCAAATAGGCAAAAAGTGTTGTATCCCATGCAACTCCGCTCTCAGAGCCAGGTATCCTGGACCATGGGAACTACAGGATAGTTAAATAATCCTGAATCAAGTCACCTTAAAGAAGAAATTACAAGAAATTAATACTTCAAATTTCCTCAGTCTGGGAACTGAATTGTCTAGGGGATCAATCTGATGTTGGGATACAGACGTTTGCTTCTCTGGTATTTGTGGTATTTGCTATATTTAGAATACAAATATTGTACTACCCTGGGATGTTCCCCACTCCGTGATGCTCTTGAATCCCAGTTGCAAAGAAGAGACCGGCAACATTTCACCAGCTGAATTACATGAGAATCCTATGACAAAAAATTCCTTTGCATCTCTCCCAGAAGAATGTAAGTAAATAAATATAGAATATATACATAAATGTGTGTGTGTGCCTGTGTGTGCACACACAGAGAACATATACATAAAAAAATTTGCAACAGAGTGAAAAGTATGCAACTCGGCAGAGATAAATTTATGGAATAAATGAAACACACAGACAGATAATTTGTGAGTGTACTGAGGGGGGAACATGTTGAAGTGTTTTTTTGTAATCTAATTGTATTAGAATACAATGAATTTCGTGGTATAATACTTTGTCAAGGACTGTAGCGAAAGCCAAGCAATTTCACTGCAAATCCTAACAAAAAGAACTATCCCAGCATTTACAATCATCACAGCTGCTAAAACAAACTTGAATGTGACCTTCAAGCCATCATGATACCTAAGCTGAGACAATGAAATATAAAGAAATATATCTGTTTTAACAAACCTCTTTTGGGACAGGCTAAATAATAAATGGATGACAAGT